GATGGACGGGAGGTGGGAGGATGGACGGGAGGTGGGAGGATGGAGGATGGAGGATGAGTGGGAGGGTGGATGGGAGGTAGGGGGATGGCTGATAAGTGGGAGGATGGCTGATGAGTGAGAAGATGCATGGGAGATGGGAGGATGGATGGTGGAGGGAGGATGGATGATGGAGGGTGGGTGGGAAGACAGATGATAGGTGGGAGGATGGATGATGAGCGGATGAACGAGTGGGTAGGAGGCTACCCAACCTCGGTCTGCCCCCAGCCACCCTGCCTGGCTGTACCTGCTGCTGTTGGGCCCGGAGGTCACCAATCTCCTTCTGATCCTCCTCATGGAGCCGCTTCATGTCCTCCCATGACTGCTGCAGCAGGTTACGTTCCCGCAACAGCTGTCCGTTCTCCCGCCTCAGCATGTCCACATCATCCTTCAGCTGGGTCTGGTCGCTCAGGAGCCGGCTATGGAGTGTGCTATAATCCCCGCACACACAGTGAACCCCAGCCAGCCTCCAACCCTCTCCAGCCCCTCCAGGTCCCAGGACTCCCAGTGGGAGCCCACACAGCAACCAGGGTAGCGGCACTCAGAGGCAGGCCAAAGCTTGGTATCAGCCAAATGCCAGGAGGACCCAAACCACTTTTTAAAAACCTGACACCAAAAAGGGCACACGTATGAAGGCCAAGGTGAGGGCTGAGCCCTTACCTGGTACAGGCCCGGCACCTCTGAGTACTGAGGCAGGGCAAAGGGCAGCAGACGGGCAGGTACAGCCAGCCAACAGCCTCAGAGGGGCCCCAGGAGACCAAAGGGGAACATGCCCATCTGCCTCTCCTACTGCAGGAGCTGCAGCTGGGTCCTGGACCATGACCCAGGAGCGCAGCAACCTGACGGGCCTGATCCTTTTCCTGCCCGCTGCGCTTCCAAGGCTGTCACCAGATGGTGTGAAGGCTCCACACCTCGCCCCATACTTAGAAAAACCCACTTGAGACCCAAAGACCCAAACCCACTTGCTGAAGGCCCACTGCCTGCTAGACGGCACCAGAACCGCTGGCTCCCAGCCCAGAGGCAAAGAATGGGCCCACTCACTGGTAGAAGTCGGTCTCCTTGGCCACCTCCTCACACCGCTTCAAGGCATTGGTGTGCTGCTTCTGCAGGCTCTGAAGGTCCGACATGGCCCGCACACACTGGATCTTCAGCCTCTCGTAGTCGGGATTCAGTCTGTGGTAGGGCCTGGCCCAGACAGCAACAGTGAACACGGGCTCTGGGACCACTCGGACAAGGAAGGTCTCTGCCCCAGGAAACCTCCAGCCCAGCATCCCCGGATACTGGCTCCTACACACCACGACCACCTGGGGTTTGTTCTGCTCAGACATCCTGGCCTCCCCAGACCAACAAGACCCCTAGGATGGAGGGCCTTGGTTGCCTGGGCTCCCTGCTTGAGCCTGGAGAGCTAAAAAGGTACTGTCTTATTCTCTAGCAGCTCCAGGGAGACTGTGCAACAGGCCTTCACACACAGTGGGCATGCCAGAAACCTAGGATGGAGTTTCTCCTCTTTTTAGGAAAGTGACTGCCAATCCTGGGTGCACATTAAAACGCCAAGGCCCAGGCCAAATACATCAGCATCCTTAGGGATGTGACCCAGACATCAGGATTTTTTTTTAAACTCCCCCAGGGATTCCAGTGTGCAGCCACGGTTGAGAACACTGGCCAGGAGTAATGCTTCCCAGAGTGGGGTTCCCAGACCTGCAGCGTTCATTTCACCTAATGCTGTGAGAACTGCAAACCTCAGGTCAGCCCCAGAACCCCTGAATCAGGCACCTGGAAGGGAGGGAGGGCTAACCAGCAAGCGGTGCTTTAACAAGCCCTCTGGTGATTCCAGTGCACAAATTCGAGAACCCCTGCCCTACAGCTGGCGTCAGTAACCTTTCTCGTACAGGGCCAGGCAGTAAACACTTCAGGCTTTGCCAGCTACACAGCTCTGTGTAACTACCCGCTCTGCCTTGGTAGCATGAAAGCAGCCAGGGACAGTATGGACTCTAGCACACTGGGTCTCCACTGGCCCTCCCTTTGTGCTGAGGACCATATCGTCATCAACACAGCCTGAAAGAACAGGCTTTGCAGCCTTGACATCACCCCAGAGGAACCTTCCTCAGGAAGAGGCACACAACTCTGATGCCCCTAAGGGCAATCCCCCTCCCCTCAGAATCCCTACCAGCATCTCCCGAAAGGATGAATCACACTGTATCCCTCCTCCTCCTCTATGAAGCCCCCCTGGACTGTGCAGGTGGGTAAAGACTCTCCTCTGCCCCACCCCATGGACCACCCTTCCTTGGTATCTACCTCTAAATCCCAAAAGAAGCAAAGATTTTCTTCAAAACAACAAAGAAGCCAGGTGGAATATACCCTCCTAAAACACATGTGGCAGGGAACAATTAATGTGTGAACATATAACGACCCATGTATCAGTGAGGAGGAGCGGCACACGCGCATGCAGACACACACACACACACGTGCACACACACGCATGCACGTAGCTGGGACTGGTCGGGGGCTCAGCCATGGGATCACTATCTCTATTAGGACAGGGGCTGCATGCAAGCAGCAGACAGAGATAGAGAGGAAGCACACCATCTTGGTGCTGGAAGGCAGAGGCCTAGAGAGGGGCAGTGATGAACCCAAGACCACCTAACAAACCGGTGAGGAGGCACCAGAGTGGGACCAGGCCCCGCCAGCTGCTGCTAAAACCACCCACCAAATGATCATGAATAGAGGACGGATAGATGACAGACACGCCCACACTTCTCAATCTCCATGTGGTATGTGACTCAGGCCACAAGCTCCAGTCTGGCTTGGAGGAAGCATAAGCAGCCTGTGTTCCCTCCCCCCCACCCAGGGCTGTGGGGACAGTGTTTCAAAGTGCAGTGGGGACTGGGGCAAAGGGACACTGGCAATGCCATATGCACCACCGGGAGCTAAGGATGAGCAT